CATAACATTTAGCGGTCTAATTGCAGTGGGGAAGAAACTGCACTGCAAAAACAATCTAGAAATAAGTAAAAATGTATTAAATTAAGTGTATTTACCCTGAATTTGAGCAGGTAAATAAAATGATCTGCCAATAGAATGAGTATTTTTACTCTTAAAATAAGATAATTAGATAATGTGCACCTGAAATAAGACAATGCACTTGCTTTTTTCTCTTATTCTAAATGTAAATTGTCTTGTTCCATTGGCAAAGTGTCCCACTTACCTCCTCAATTCAAGAACAAATGCACTCAGTTTAAGAAAAAATGACTTTGTGTGTTCTGGAATCTGCTGGACCTGCATCGGATGAATGCATCGGAATAAATCACTTAATTTGAATTAAACTGACCATGTATTAGAAGTATTTTCTAATAGGTTATGGCATTGAACTAAAGTAGAGGTATTTTTTTATGCTATATAGGTAGAGTAGTCAAAAATTATACTCAAGTAAGGGTAGTACTACTTTGACATAGCTGGAGTAAAGGTTAAAAGTAGGCAATCATACATGTTTCTAGTGAGTGTAAATAAAGAGTAAAAACACAAAAACAAATCCAGAATTTAAAACTTTGGTATTTTAAAGAGCAAAATACAAAATATAATCACAAATTAAAGTAAGAAGAAAAGATTTTTTATTTTTAACATCAAACATGAATCTATTTTTCACAGCTGTTAATTTATAAACATATTTTTGATAATCTGTGAGCACGTGTTGTAGGAGGGGATTATTTAATTGATTTAATTATTTAAGTTTTTTTTATTTTTTTGTGCATAATTTAGCTACGTTTATTTACTTTATTGTTTGATATCTGTTATGAGATTATGTTTTTCTGGTTATTTAGTCATGATCATTTGTTTTTGGTTAGTTATGATTAATTTGGGTGAATTATTTTTTATAAAGAGGCAGTCAATGGTAGGACCAGCATGCATCTGGGCGGGCGTAAGGTTTTTAGCAGCGCAAGAGAAGCAGGGAGGAAATGTTTGTCTTTTTCTGTTTGCTTGCCTGAGGAGAAAATAAACTGAGAAAACTAAAGGAGTTTACCTGGAAAATTTTTTCTTTTGCCTTCGTAAAATTAGTCCATGGTGCATCTGTGGCCTTTGTGGTTTTCCACTTTTTTTTGTGTGTGTCATAAGAGCTTGGCCACTCTCAGCAAACCTTGCCTATACTGTAAACATTTAACTTTTTATATTAAAACTTTATATAAAGTTTACACGGAGTAATTATAGTCAATCATGGAATCAGAAATCAGTGTCTGCTCTAGTTCAGCCTAAAAGTTGCTATAAAGTTGAGGTCACGTCTTCACACTTTTACTTTTAACGATATAGTGTATCCCGTATTTTCATTTCTTCCAGTGGCACTAACCCTCTTCCATAAAAAAACAGATTTTTTTCTTTTTTTTTGAAAAAATAGGAAAGTTCCTCTTAAAAAAAGGTTTTGGTTCAAGACGTTTTTCCAAGCTTAATTTCTGAAATGACATTATTAAAATCACCATTTCCAAAATATGTTCTTTAATAATGTGACAAAATGTCCTTCCTTTCCTTCCTTTATGCAGATGGCCCCATGATGACCTTCCAGTTTGTTGCTGTGGTGCAAGAAGCCAGAAGATGGCACTGTATACTCTATTTCAGATGCACTGAAGGAAATACATATATGTTTATACATATATAAAAGACATGATACATCATATTAGAACTACATTCAAGCCAGTTTTTCCCCCCATAAGCTTAAATTCTTCCCTTTACCTCGGATCTCTGAATGTGATTACCCTGAATTAAGCAAAGGGGAGGCCAGTGGTCTTCTATTAGTGGTTCTGGATGCATTTGTTCAGTTTTTTCAGGACGCAGCAGTCACACAGGGCCTCTTTGTCGATCAACTTTAACACATAAACAAGCAAATTAAAGTCATGCACAGGCTGTGCAGAAAGGATGGCCTCTGCCTCATCTGGTCCATCATTCAAGTCAAATCAGGATCTAAGCAGGATCCTTGGAGAGGCTTGGTACAACATGGAAAGCTGGCAGTGCCTTCTGCTGCTGCTCACTGCCTTGATGTTAAGGTTCTGCTCCGCAGAGGTGAGGAGAAATAATGATGGCATCGACCCCATCAGCCTTCTGAGGGATATTTACAGAGGGCCGCCGGTGAGAGGCCAGGCGTTTATCAGGGACCCTGAGCTTAAAGAGCTGAGGGACCCTGCAGCCGTACAGCAAAGTAAGGACAGAGTGCTCCGTCAGACTGATGGGCCTGTGGTGTTTACCAAAAACGGACAGATCAGGGGGGTCACAGTGGATAAGGCCCATATATTCTATGGGGTGCCCTATGCAGAGCCCCCTGTTGGTGCCTATCGCTGGAAGCCACCCAGACCCTTGAGCCCTTGGTCTGGGGTTTACGACGCCTCTTTCCCTCGGGCGGCGTGCATGCAGGTCTGCACTGGATCCACCTCTGCTGAATGTCCGAAGAAGGTGAGAAACTCTGAAATTTCCTTTATTTGCAGGATTTATTTTAGAAATTAGAGCTGATACACAATTATTTTTCACATTCTATTAAGATACAACAGAAAATTATACATGTATGAATCTAAGACAAACCTGACAAAGATCTGGATGTGAAATGTAATGATTATGATTTTCACAAGAATTTATGGCAATTTTATTATAGGGAAGTTTTACCATGAAACCCTTAAACAAAACAATAAAGAAAAAAAGAATTGTTAGGAGGAATATAAAGAATGAAGGAGGGTAGGATAAAGAGGAAGGTAGGAGGAAAGAATGGAGAGAGGGAAGCACAGAAGATAGGAGACCAAAAACAGCAAAAAAGGACAAAGAAGGGAAAAAAGGAAGTTGCAAGGATGAAGGAAAGGATTAAGAAAGAAAGGACAGAAGGTAGGATACAGAGAGGAAGCAATGCAAGGAAAGACAGAAGGAAGGAAAAGGATAGAAAGAGGGGAACTGAAGAAGGAATTACAGAATAGGAAAGCAAGGAAGAAAGGTAGTCAGGACATAATAAAGGAATGAAAAAGAAATTAGAGGAGAGAAAATGAAAGTAAGGTCCTAAGAAAAGTAAGAAATTGGAAAGATATAGAAGAAAATTAAGGAAAATGAGAAAGAAATGACACTAGGAACAAAAGAACAGAGAGAAGGAAGGTAGGAGAGAAGTATCTAAGGAGAAGAGAGAAAAGAAAGACTAGAATAAGGACATTCAGACATCACAAAACAGAGCAACATCTATTAATAGTTTTGACTCTCTCAGTGACGGGTGGATGTGAAGTAGAAGTATGGAGTGAAATTTGTGCCATTATTGTTGCAAGCAAAGAACATGTTTAGTAAGCAGAAAACCAGAAAATTAAATAAAAAAAATAAAAAGAACAATAACTAAAAACCTGAGAAAACAGGAAACACAACAACAAAGGTTTGGAGAGTAATTTTAATCAGAAGACGTTTAATGAAGTTTCTTCTCTAGATTAACATCCCCCCCCCCCCAGTCCAATCCATTTTATTCCTTATAGCACTTTTTATAAACAGAGGCATTTTCCAAAGTGCTGCACAGTAACATAAACATAACTAACAACGTGCCATAAGTGGTAAAAACGAATAAAAACTACATCGAAATACAATAAAAGACCCAGAGGACCATACAACTTATGCCTTGTTAATAAAACTGAACTTAAAAACTCAAATATAGTGAATATAGTGACTGTTTTAACGTAGGGGGGGGGGGACACAGAATGTTCCGTCTAGTCGGTGTTTTGTTTTTTGCTCAAAAGACTTTAATTATAATAATATACTGTAGATTTCAGTTAGGGGTTAACTGGTTGTTTGGGGTTAGAGATGGACCGATATCAGTCAATGTTGTTTATTTGTGTATGGTTAATGGCCGACACATACATGCTGTCACTACCCCATCCATACCAGAAGCACGATCCGTACCATCAGCTCACTTGCGCATGCGCAACCACATAAATTCCATAAATAATTCAATTATGGTTCTAAAATTACTTATTTCTATCGTTAACTCACTAAAGAATGCTAGTAAACATATTTAAAAAATGTTTTATGACTTTTCTGAGACAATTTTGATGCTTTTTACATTTCCTAAGCTAAATTGCTTGTCTGATGTCATCATCGGACACGCTCAGAGGAGTCCGTCAAAATGTGATTAAAAGCAAGAAGCATAGGATCCCATTTCCTTTACAGATCGGACACAGAAGAGTGATAAAACAGAAAGGATTTTAAGGCACTTATTTTATAAGGAAATACATATTAACCTTTAACGCATCATATTCAAGTACATTTACTTTTTTTTGGGGAGGGAAAAACATAATTTAAGCCTATTTTAGAAAATAAATCAAAGGTAACATGGATGTATATTTGGTTGCGCATGAGCAAATGATATGGATCCTGGCTCCGGGACGAATCGGGTAGAGACTCATTCGTCAGCTGATTCATTAGCATATTTAGCAGCCACGCCTTAAGATAACATAAAATCCATGCATTGTCATTTCGTCTGTTTAAATCTCTTTTTAAAAAATTATTTACAGAAAAAAAATCTGCAGCACAAATCAGGGATTGAATAGGCTTGTTACCAGCATCGGTCTAATAAAACCTCTACCTGTTGATCTTTATTTGAGGTGTGTTCGGTTTCCTCCAAACCAAGAGTTTTACAGTAGATCAGAGGTTTTTAATATCAACTTGTTTTCATTTAGGATAAAAATAAGCGGTGCACCACATTTAGGACGTTCTGTATGTGGTGCACCGCTAAAAGTGGTGCAATAGCTACAGTATGGATATCTATAAATACCCATCTATATAAATCCACCCTGTATAAAAACACCCGTGCAATAATCCTGTATAATAATCCTGCTATAAAAAAAAAAAAAGCTGTCATATGTGGTTGCACTGTATATACTGTATATATGCACCTTTTTTCTTTCTTTGGCACATTTTTCCTCTCCTTTTACTATTTAACCTGATGTAATAAGTTAATTTCTCCACTATGAGATCAATAAAGACAATCAATCAATCAATGAAATCTATTTACATTGGATTTAAGTTCACAAGCAGAAAACTGAAAGAATTGGCTTCAAATTTTTACATGAATGTGGATTTGAATGAAACCAAATAGTGTTCAGTTGAAAATAAAATGTAGACTCTGTTTACTTTGGTCCATATTCTACAGATGTGTAATTATTGAACCAAAATTGAAATTACTTGCATCCCAAACAGGTCAGCGAGGACTGCCTCTACCTCAACATCTTCGTACCTCTGGACCTTAACTTCACCTCCCCCCTGCAGCGGCCCCTGCCTGTCATGGTTTGGATCCATGGGGGGGATTTCATTGCTGGCTCTGCCTCAAAGCCCATGTATGATGGACGCTTCATCAGTAACTTCACTCACACTGTGGTTGTGAACCTGGACTACCGATTGGGTAAGACAGAGAGAGATCGGGGGTGTTTTACAAACTTTAACTCAATTAGTTTCTCCTGATCCCTCAGAGTCTCTGCTTGGATTAGAGAAAAGAGAGGAAATCTCAGTTTAATAGCATTAACAAGGGGAAATCAGTGGCATGTGAAATGTCACATGGAATTCAGAGGAAATTACCTTCTTTTTTTAAGTTGATTGTGTCTCATTATGTGAAGTGGTCTGTGTCTAAAGGAGCGTTTGGATTCCTCGTTTCGGGGAAGGATCCTACGTCCAGCGCGACGGGGAATTATGGGATCTTGGACCAGCAGGCGGCGCTGCTATGGGTGCAGCAGAACATTGTAGCTTTTGGGGGCGACCCCAACAAGGCAAGTGACAGTAGGCAAAAATATGGAGTCAGTTTTGTTCCGTTATTATTGGAAGCATGGAACATAGAAATAAATGGAAATTTGGAAAAACAAAATGCAATCCAGAAATAAAACCTTAAGATTAAAACTCTTAATTAAAAGAAAACATTGTAAGAAAAACTTTGCTGTTTTCTCCAATTTCTTTTTTTTTTTTAGAAATTATTTTTTTTCTTTGGTTCCGCAAATTTTCTTTCCTGAATTTTGATCTTTTTTTTTCCTCAAATTCTGTTTTTTAATCTTCAATCGTTTAAAAGATGTTATTTTTTCACATTTCTATAACTGTAATATTTTAAACCTTTTTAAGATTTTATATTTTTATTTAATTGATCTCTTTTTGATAAAAAAGATTTATTTTTAAATACAAATTTTTCAGATTAAGATTTACATATTTTGACCCCCAACCGCCACCACCCCCCAAATACACCCACATCCATACTCGTTCTGCCATCGTAGTGAGGACCATGTGTTGACTCCCATTGACTTCCATTGATTTTCAGTCATGTTCAGTCCTATATATGCCATAACCCTAAAACTAAGCCTAAACCTAATCATTACCAATGCATACCTCACCCTAACCCAATTGACACCTTAACCCTAAACCTACCATTAGCAAAATAGCTTGTGAGGACAGGCAAAATGTCCTCACTTTGCAACAAATGGTCCTCTGATGGTGAAATTGGAAAAATTGTCCTCACTCGGATGTTAAGACAGATACACACACACACATTCATAAGAGAATCTGGTCTGTAAAGTCAATTTGAAAATAATAAAACTGGAAGAAGCTATAGAGGTGTTTTAAAAGAGCTATTCTCATATCCATGATGTTTTTTTATATGATCTCACAATGAGCAACAAAGGAGGGAATAAAGGGAACCAAATATGTTTGTTCCAAAGCTTTGATTTGAGTTTCTTTTCTCTTTTGTTTTATGGTCAGGTAACAATATTTGGGGAAAGTGCAGGCGCTCAATCAGTGAGTCTCCAGCTGATGATCCAGAGCAGCAAACCTCTCTTCAAACAAGCCGTCCTGCAGAGTTTGCCTTTTTCCATCCCCCTCAAGTCCAGGTAGGAAGCTGCCCGCTTTGCTTATCTGGAGGAGCTAAAAACGGATTCAGAGTCTTTAAACTTAATCAAAGGAGCTTCCTACCTAGCTGTTTCTGGCAAAGCTTCAAGCTGCCAACTAACTCTGCACCCCCCCCTCTCTATCTCTACTCTTTCCCAGACATGATGCCCTGAGGCTGGGAAAAGACTTTGCTAAAGAAACCAACTGCTCTGTGAGCGACTTCATCTGCCTGCTGTCTCTCACTCCGCAGGCCGTCCTGGCTGCTCAGATGAAAACAAGTAGGGCGCCGCAAACCCCCCAATTTAGAGCTGCCCACACAGTTATATAACACAGCAGGACGAGGAGTTTATCTGGAAAAGATGATGAAAAGCTTTTATTTATCCTGAGTTAGAAGAAGACAAAGTTGTTCAATTTGAACTTTTATCCTAAAGGAGCCATTTGATGGGTTTTATTGCCTTACAGCAGAAAATGAACGTCATCCATCTACGTCTGACAGGTTTATTGATCAGTGTCTCTAAATCTAGGACTTCTTTTTGTAAGATAGTTTGTTTTTTCTTTAAATTAAAAGAAATAGGGTGAAAACTCTGCATTGTATTCAAAAGATGCAAGAAGTTTCCTCTCTTATTTTTATTTATCCTTTAGTCTAAAGGGGAGGCTTACTGGAATGCTTAAAAAAAAATCAGCCTTAAAGATGTGTGGTGATATGTTGTGGCGTCTCTGATCATTTCTGTAGCTTAAAGAGAATTTCAGATGCAATAACTTTTTTTTTTTACATAACTAAGTTGAGTAAACTACGGAAGAGAATTCGGGCCACTGGAAAAAAAAAAGTGAACTGATTTTTGAATATTATTTCAGTTTAATATGGGAAAAAAGTCAGAATTCTTACTTTTTTCACAGGATTTTGACTATAATCTCAGAATTCTGACTTTTTTCTCAGAATTCGGACTTTAATCTGATCTTAATTCTGAGATTAAAGTGAGAATTCGGAATTTAATCTCAGATTTCTGACTTTTTTCCCCATATTAAACTGAAATAACATTTATAAATCAGTTAACATTTTTTTTATTTTTCCAGTGGCCCTAATCCTCTTCCGTAGTAAACCAGGAGGTTTACCATCCTGAACTATTTCCCAATTACTGGAATGTGTTTTTCCTCCAGTTTCCCCATGGTGACTTTTTACTTTAGAGGAGATTTTGATTACAAACATCATAACCCAGATTTTCATGTATCATTAGATATATAGGAATTGGGACTAGGCTATAAAAATGTCTTAGCACTCTGGGGGTTTATTGTATAATCCCAATTTAATACTTGGGATTATTTCTATTGTCCCTCTGCAGGTAAAAAAATGTATTTTATAGTTTAGGGCTGCAAACAGCAGGCATATACTACAATAGTAATAACCTTTAATGAAAACAGCAAACCAAAAAAAAAAATCAGTCAGTAAAAATTGAATAAATAAATAAAACAATTTAAGTAATTATTATAGTGCAGTTTGATTATTTTTAGTGTCATAGTTGTAAAGTAGAATTTATACGCCTTACTTTAGGTCCTTGAGATCATGAATCTCCACTCAGAGTTGCTGCTAAACACTTTCATGACTCAACCATCATGGGTGTCAAACAGAGGACTGCAAATACTGATCTAGAAATATAAAATTTGTTTATTTTTCTTTCATCTAAGACGGTAAATAAGTTGCCTTGTAATTGGAATAGGTTTTTTATGATAAGGTAATCAGATATATGCCAAATAGAGATTTTTATTTAAAAAATCATCTTACTGAATGGGTAAATTGTTTACATTTTCCTTTAAAATCAAGGTAAAATACATTTATTTCTGGAAAACAAAAAAACAAAGTTGTCTTAATTACTGTAGTTGCTGCATGGCAATTATTTACCGCTTTAACAGTGTCTACACTCACAAAAATCATACACCAAGATTTGTATAAATTTATAACCTAAAAAATACAAGTTTATTTTCTTTAAATAAACCTTACATGATGGATACGTATTAATTTCATGTACCTTATTTTTTTGTGAATACATAACTGTCAGGTTTTTGTATTTAGAACAAATAAAGTTGTCAGGGTTTGTAGAAGTTTGTAGATGGACCCAAAATGCAGAGGAGGAGGCAGCAGAGACGGTTTCTTGTAGATGTACTGATGAAGGAAGCAGTTATATAAATCTAACAGGCAGATGGCCGCTCAACCTGAGCATGGTTTTGCCTGGAGGTTTCTTCCTGTTAAAGGGGAGTTTTTCCTCTCCACTGTCGCTACAAGCATGCTTAGTGTGAGGGATTGCATTTGAGTCAATGAGTCGATGCAATCAACTGGTATTCCTTACATAGAAAACTTTGAATTAATTTGACTGTATGATCTAGTCAACCATAAAGTGCCATGAGAAGACATGTGTTGTAAATTGGTGCTATATAAATAAACTGAATTGAATTGAACTGAATTGAACCAGAACAGAGTTACACAGGAGGTTAGTAACAGTAACAGGAGCTAATGATGACAGGGGAGAAGAAAACTGAACAATACAATAGAGCTGGCAAGAAATAATATGATACAAAAATAGATAATGACTAAGAAACACAGAATGAACAAAAGGGAAAACTAGAGGATGGGGAAGGCACTGGAGAAATTCATATAACAAATATGCAATGGAAAAAATTTATTTAAATATATGATAAAACCATTAATATGAAAAATTCCAGAACTGACTAAATTACTAACAAAAATGCTGAAAAGAAATAACTAAAATAAACGACAAAGAAGAGTAAAATAAGAAATAATTAATAAACAATATAAATCTTAAAGACAAAACTATACCCACTTAAAATGAATAATAATTAGTCTGTTTACTTCAAATAAATAAAGTTTATTAGTTTAATTTGCATACTAATCAGGTTAACTTTATACAGTTTAAGTGAGAAACTTTCTGTGAAATAAAAACAGTCATTAGTATTAATCTTGAGCAAGTGAACTATAATTATTATTAATACATAAACCTGGTGATTATGTATTTTTAATAAACAGGCTTTATTCTAGTAATGAGTATGCATCATGTAAGGTTTATTTAATAGGTTTGCGTAAAAACAGTCTAGAAAAAAGTAAAGGGAAACTTGATATATACATTTACATAAATCTTACAATAGTATAAATGAGTTTTTTTAGGGTTACCATAAAGAATAAAAAAAAGTATGTGTAGCGCTATTGGGGGATGGGAGGGGGATTCTTCTGCTAAAATTGATAAAATTGTTTCATAAAAACAAAATAATCCCTTTTTTATAATCGTCTTCCAAAGAGGAATGAAGCTGGATTATTAAAGCGGACGGCCAATATTCCTAAAATGTTGTTTATATTTGCAGGTTCTAAGTTGGTGAACCCGTTCAGGTTCCTGGAGATTTTTGAGACGTGGGGCCCGCACATTGATGGAGAGCTGATTAAAGAGCAGGCTATCAGCGCCTTTCAGAAGGGAGACTGGCAGAAAGAGAAGCCCCTGCTGCTGGGTAAGAACAGCACAAACACAGAGACATAGACGGCAGTTTCTAACGTGTTTTCCTGTTTTCTGCCAGACTCCCACAGGTCCTCATTAAAAAACAGCTCTATGTCAGAACTCTGACAATAGCTGGAAATCTAAAGTCGATGATATCCTTCAGAGCAATAGACGTGAAGCGTATTTGTCTGATGTTCCCCTGCAGGAACCACCTCAGAAGAAGGAGTGCTCTTTGTTTATGGGGTCTTCAATAAGCCAGTGTCTGTGGTGGAGGCAACGGTTTACATCGCAGCCATCTTCAAGCAGCACGCTCTGAGGATCCTGCACAAATATCTGCCTCTCTACAAGGAAGCCGACCGCAGAAATATGTTAACCCAGGTTAGGAAAGTCAGCCAGCTCCTTTCATTTATACTCTGCTTTATTTTAAGGAACCCAACTGATTAATTAACTACAATACAGTTAAATCCAGAAATTACAGCTACAAAGAACCTCAAGGAAGCCTGCAGCCTGAGAGCAAAGTTAGAAACATGCTGGACTCTGGGTCCAGATTGCTGCAGAGCCTTGGATATTTTCACTTTGAAAACACAAGCGTCTAGCTTAAGGTGGCCGGATTTCTGAAATCCATTTTTTTTGCCGTGGTTTACTAAACTGCAGAAAACAGAAAGGACCATCAATAGTTAAGGTGACCAGATTTCTGAAATCCAAACTGGGGAGATTTCCAGCTCGAAGATAAAAGAATTTAAAAAATCATCAAAACTAAAATAGGAAACGGAGATAGTGATGCTTTCATCCATTTTTACATATTTATTCATATTCAAACAACAAAAATTCAGTGTGAAATTCAGGAACGTGCCTCTCCTGTTTCCTAAGATTAATGAAATGAATCAATAGATAATGTTTATTGGTGCCATTTGGTCATTCAGTCTTCTGTCTTCTTGCTTCTCCATCTTCTTTTCTTTGTAGCTGCTTCCTACTCTTCAGCTGATCTTTCCATCAGTGTCTCTATTTTAAAACAGTGACATAATACAATCAAAATCCTTTCCAAACACATTTTAGGCCCAGTCCCATTTTTCTCACTTGCACTCATTTTGGACCCTACCACTCGGTTTTGCGTGTTCATGTGTAAGGTTAGTGTGTCATAATAATTTTAAGAGCTAGGGGGGAAGTTAACCTGACAACAGCCAGATGTATGTCTCGCTCCGCCCCGCTCCACTCACATAGCGGAGCTAGGCGGAGTGAGACATGCATCTGGCTGTTGTCAGGTTAGGGGGAAGTGCCCTCCAACCCTTAAAATGATCCCTTCAGCAGACGGAGTGAGGTCGGGAGCTGACTTCGGAACGGTGTTTCTTCCCAGAACTCATTCAGCGATCTCCTTATACTTATTATGAATATTATTATGATGATTGTCAAGTGGTTCACACTTTTTTGTTTGGGATATAAACTGCAGGTTTCCCCCATTTGAAAAGGCAGCTTGCTTCCAGAGATTTCACAGGATTTCACTCAGAACACCAAAGTTGATTCTTTCCTTTTTTCTTTCTTGTTTGAAAGTTTAATCAACAATAGTAACATTGATAGTAGTAGAAGCAGTAGTAGTAATAGTAGGTGAAAAACCTTTGAACATAAACACAGAGAAACAATGATTAAAGTTCCTTTAAATAACAAAATTATTCCTGAAACAAAATATAAGATCTAAATCCAAAATCAAACGTATTTAAAACATGTTTACATTCTAGTATTAATTTACTCTCTCAAATATATTTTAAATACTCCCTCTTTTTTTTACTTTTTATAATATTTTAACGTTTCAATCTGAATATACAAACAATGTGTGGCTCATGATTATTATTGTTGTTGTTATCTCACCAGTTTAAATACTAAAAAGGCTAATTACCACAATATTTGGAGTTACAAGTAAAAGCCAAATAAATGAGTATAGCATGCTCACACGTTCTTTCTACCAATATAACAGTCTACATGCATCATTTCCTCCCTTCATTCATAAGACTGTAAAGTCAGGGACATTTTCAGGGACAGCTTTAGCTGGGACAGGCAGGGGCGGAGCTAGATGAGGGGCCAGAAGTGGCCCCCCTTAGCCAATCATTGGCCACCCCTCTGGCCACCCCTACCATTTTTTTCGCCCTCTAATACAGATGATTGCAGCTGTAATACTCTCAAGTGGAATATTCAAAACATTTTAATGTTTGTGGTTAATTATGCACATTAATATACTAACATCAAAGATGATAATTAAAGAATTCCTGCTCTTTTCAGAACTAGATTTTGTGTTATATGGGGTAAAGAGAAAATTATGTGTCCCTGCAAGCCATCTAAGAGTCTTCAGTGGAATCAAATATAAAGAACAATTTTTATAAAAACTTATCAAATTATCAATTTATGTAGATATTAGTGCTTGTAAATATAAATTTTATGTGGAATGTTTATTGATAAAAGTAGGTAAGTAGAGACCATGGAAAAGATTTATGCCCCAGAACTCAAAACTGAGTTTTATCCACTATACCTCTTATCTAGGCTTCACCAATGTTTTTAAATATATGCTTCTATTTTTTAGCAAAGGCTGTAGAAAAGTATAGTTTGTCTTTATTTAGAAAATATGGATGTTTTGCTCGTTAATTTTCCTGTTGGAACAGTTTAGATTGAGGTTCTGGCGCCTATCAACTTTCAACCACCCCTCAGTGTACATTGGTTATTGCCTGGCCACCCTTAGAAATTATTTCTGGCTACACCTCTGGAGACAGGTGGTCCAAATTGGGGACTGTCCCCGGGAATCTAGCTTATTTAGCTTATATATATATATATATATATATATATATATATATATATATATATATATATATATATATATATATATATATATATAAAAAGTATTTGTATCATTTTCTTTATGCAATTGCAGCATTTTTTGTGTTTGTTTTTGTAATTATACTCTTTTCCTCTTCTATCTCAGTAATTGCAGCATTTTTGTTTGCAATGTTTATCTGTTGCATTTAGTTTTTGTGTGCTTGCGTGTTACAGAGTTTGTGCCACATATGGTTTTGCAGCTGGTTCTGTTGTTTGCTGCACTCTTGCACCCGTCAGCCACTGTAGGACTAGGCCTTCCCAGGAATACTGCCAGGTGCTGTTGTCAAGCTATTATTCAAAGTAGCAGCAGCTCACATAAACAGAAGGATGCACCAAGTACTAATGATGCTTATCAGGAAAGGGTTGAGGCTGCAGCGTTCATTAAAAATTAGATCATAAATATTCTTATATTGGCTGTTGGGCTTCTTGTTATGTTTCTGAGGGTCACCATAGCCCTGGAGGCTGCTGCCTTGATAAATGTCACATTTAAATCCTTTTAAAACACCTTTTAATTGCAGTTGTAGCCCAGCACTGGAATGCATCAGATGGTTTCAGGAAGAGAAAATTTCAGCAGATTAACTGCTGGCTGAAGATAGAGAGGGATCTGTTACATAACATAACCACTTGAATTTCAGCATTCAGGTCCTGAAGGTGCCTGTTCTGGGTTATTACATTTCATCTTGAAAGTTTAGAGCCAACATAAGGCTAAAAATACTCAGAAAGCGAGGATTTATGTTTGTTTGATTTGTTTTTAGCTTCACACAGACAAGCGTGTCTGTGTTCAGGTGTGAGCTGTGCAGCTGTGTGGGAGCAAGTTGCACGGCGCTCAAAAAGGCACGATGGTTTCCAGGTAACAGGCAGGAGAGAAGAAGTATGCCTGCACCTCTGTTGCCTTTAGGCAAGAGGGAACACCCGTTTTTGCCTCTTTGTCCCAAGCTCACTCACATCCAAATCCTGCTAATTAGTGTTGTCAGACTGCAGAGAAACCTGGGCCTCTGGTGGCACTGGATGTTTCAGACGTTTCTACAGGAGGACTAAGAGACCAAATAAAAGCTGAACTGTTAGAATTCAGTTTAATTCAGTGTATTAAAATTGTGCAATTTCACAACACGTCAACTCTTTAAAGAGACAATTCAACCAGATCATACAGTCAGATTCAAAGTTTTCTATATAAGGAAAATAAGCTGTTTGCATCGTCTCATTGACCAGACAGAAATCCCTCACACTAAGCATGCTTGTAGCGACAGTGGAGAGAAAAACTTCCTTTTAACAGGAAGTAATATCCAGGAGAATCAGGGTCAGTGTGAGCGGCCGTCTGCCGAGGCCGACTGGGGTTCAAGGAGACAGAAGCAAAGATACAGAAAGAACATAGAAATGCTGATCTATAAATACTTTCTATGTTAGAAAAAGGAACAGTAAACTAGCTCAATAGGTGGTTCTGTCTGGGAAAGAAAAAGCCGAGCAGACGAGCTCTGAGCCAGTTTTCATGTCAGAGGGCTGAAAGACAGCACATACAGTCAGAGTAAAAGTCCAGAGCTCACAGTCCAGGAGAGAAACAGGACTAAACTCTGAAAAAAAAACAGGTTTTTAACATCTGTCATCTAAAGTTGTTGATAAAACAAAAAAGGTTTAGATTATGTGCCATTTAGTAAATATACCAATGAATAAATAAATAAATAGCACCTCAAGGTGATGAATTTATCAATTAATTTCTCTCCATTTTTTTTCTCCTTTCAGATCGTTACCGATTACGTCTTTCTGTGTCCGTCCAGGAGGTCGGCGCGCGCTGGCACTGCTGCAGCCAGTCAGGTGTGGATGTATGTGTTCGACCACGTCGCCTCAGATTCCAGTGTCTGGTCGGGTTTAACGTTCTGCTATGAGCATGTCTGCCACGGAGCTGAGCTGCCCTTTCTTTTCGACTCTGCCCCAGTGGCCAACTACTCCCTGTCTCTTGCTGAAAAGCTGCTATCTAACCGGATGCTGTGCTACTGGGGGGCATTTGCACACACAGGCGACCCGTCCTCACGGGTTCAGCAGACTGCTTTCTGTCGGGAGCAGCGGCTTCCTGTGTGGCCACGCTATTCCGACACCAGTGGATGGCTCGTCATGAACCTGACTGTGCGGTCGCATGCGCAGGTTGGAACCAGAAACCATATATGTGACTTTTGGGACCAGTTAGGCCTCTACTAGGAGGAAATCGACTGGATGTCAATAAGAATGGTCATAATTGACATTGTTTTTTTTATTATTATTGTGAAGTTTTATATCTTTAAGCCAAGGAACTAAAGCCAACATACAGAGACAATAAACAGACATAAAGTCCAAACAGTTTAACCTTCTGCTGTAACAATGCAATGATCCTTTCCGTGCAATAAAACATTTTTGGAGCAAGGCTTTACCTCTGAGTCATAAATTCAGCTTCACAAGTTAAACCTTTGCTTTTACTTTTGCTACAGATGTCATGCTGAGGTAGAGCAAAAAATGATCTCTGACTTTCAGGTAATACACAGAGCTAAACAGCAGAGGGTGCTGTCTACCATCAACTAACTCAAAATATGAAAAACCATGGCTGTTTCTCAATTCACAAGAACACGAGAATGGACTTGTGTCCTCGCCAAGTATGTTCTTGAGAGGAACTCAGGAAAGTGTGAACGCAGCATAAATATGGGTCTATTGGAACAGATGCGTACTTATGACGTTGCCACACACTCTGCTCGTCTGGAGCTGCATTTCATCTCCTGTTATTAATAGTTTCTAGATAATAATAAATTCTTAATTTTTTCATTTAGTGGGGGAATAATAATGAACAACGTCAGATAAACACAAATCAAATGAAAATTTTTGCCAAATAAAACAAAAAAATTCTCCATCAGAGCCAGTGGTCCTTCACATACGGCTATACTGAGAGAGGGCTGCTGCAGACGGGCTGGGAGTAGACCTTTCTGCTGTTACCCTACGAGGGCCACTGGTTGCTGAGGTCCTTTTAACTTCTGAAATTTTATTTTCATTAATGCATTAAATCAGTAAATGGGCCATATAGTTATGCTTAAAAGTATGATATTCTCGCCTGAAATGATCTTAAAATGTACTTTTATTGAACAACAGCAATAGAAAATAGAACTTTTAACTTAAAACTCTGAGCGCTCCATTGAAAGCTGCTGCTGCCGCAGTGCATGCTGGGACAGCTGTCAATCTCAAGAACGGATAAGTCTCCTCTGATGCATGCTGGGTAAAGAGGAAGGGGAGAGAACAACATGCAGGGACTTTGTCTGTTCTCAATCTGCTGTTCTTGTGAATTGGAACAGTACTAGGACTGAGGCTGATGATGTTTCACAAGAACTCGCACACATTAGAACACAAGTGCACATATTGGGAACGGCCAACATTTTGCCGACTGCAATGTTTCCTTCAAAGGACAACATGGACCTTGCAGCCATTTATCTATATCACACATCGATTGTTGCTTGATATGTTGTTACCAAAGTCTCCAACAAGACAAAAAAGTCGCTAGATTTGTCGCTAGTCACTTTTTGGAGAAAAAAAATTCATTAGAGGGTTCTAAATTGGACTAAACCAAGTCACATTTGCAAAGGGATGGAATAAGAACTACAATATAAAGGATATTCTGAGTGATCCTCTGGGTATTCAAAGTAATTCAAAAAAGTTAATATTATAACTTAAACATTATCTTTTCAAAACAAGTAAGGTGTGTGTATTATCCTCCACACCAGCCCACAGATAAACCGACCAATCAAGAGGTGACCCTGTCCTTCCGATTAGCCTTATCCCATCCGCACTTCACATTATGTGCATGCAATTTTTTAGAGTGAGAACTTTAAGTGAGGCTTAATGAAATGTTACACAGTGAATTATACTGTTCCCAGGGCTGCCAACTTTTCACCAAACCTTGGAGTGAGTTTTTGAAAGAGTTTAGACAGGCAACCCATGTCAGGGTTAGACTGAAAGGCAATGACGATGGGTGTCATAGTTTTGGTCCTGCTGTGTTTTATTTTGTGTATTCTGTTTTACTTTGTTCCATGTTTTCTAGTTTAAGTGGTTTACTTCTTATTTTGTTGTGTTTTATGGAGATTTTCAGTTTTCAGGTTTTTATTTGATGCCCTCTGCTGCCCTCTTGTGTTCTCCTTTTTCCCTAGCTACTTTCCTATTCTGCTCTGTTTCACACCTGCTCCCAATCTGCTCATTGGTCCTCTTTTTGTTTCAGTCTCCCATAAATACTCTCTCTGTGCAGTTCTTCATTGCTGGTTCCTTGTCTAACTTCCTCCAACTCGGTCTCTCTGAGTCTTCCTCCTCGTGATTATTTCCCCAAGATGTCTCCATGGTTCCTGGTTTGTTTGACTTTGTTTTCATGTTTGATTTTTGGATTCCTGCCTCAGTTGTTTGTTTACTTATCAATAAATCATCAAGAAAGTCACCTCTGCTTCCCTGCCTCTGCATTTGGGTCCCCAAACCTCAACCAAATCCTGACAAGGTGTGCAGTAAGTTTTTAGACGATTGTCTGAATAAAGTGGCAAAATGTGGATTTTAAAAGCACAATGAATTTGACTGAATAACAATAAGTAATCTGTATTTTCTGTATTCCAGTGATTTACAGAGAATTTAACTAAAGAAGAATGAGCCATACTAAAATACTTGCATCTTAAATATACTGTAAAATAAGAATTTTACAACTATGTTTATTAATTATTCTATGTAGTTAAAGTAAAATAAATAATGTAAAACTAATAAGTTATAACTGGATTACTGCCACTAATGCAGGAACCAGTGCAATCAAACCCTATGCAAACTACACAGTGTATAAATATTTTGTAAAAATCTAAACTCATTATCGTAATAGTTGTGTTTTTCATAATTAAAAAACACCATTCAGACCCTTTAGGAGGCTTTAGATTCTATAAAAACTCACCGTGACACAAGACAAGACTTCTCTGGGTGTCTAATTTTTATAGATGTGATGGAAATTAAGTTTTTAAACATATTCAATGGACCAAAATAAGAATAAATGAATAAGATAAGTAATAATTAAATGAGAACATCCCTGTGGTTTCTCCTCAATTCTGGATAACAGCTGTTCTGCACATCCTCTCTGTGTCTTATGTGGATTTCTTTTCTTAGGTGGCTTTCTTTTGAAAAATAAAAAGCAATCATTCTTTTTCATTTTTGCGGACCTCCTATGGGTTTGTGAGGCATACCTGAAAGCTTTAAGAATTTCCATATTTGTGTTGGTTTAATTAGTCCTTATTTCCAGAGGGAGATTATTAAACTAGACTGAGCAATAAGTAGGTAACTTATAAGCAAGACATGAACTAAAACTTGGACTAAATCAGGTGGTTAAACTAGATTAAACAAAGAGTAAAGCTCACTTAAAAGAGTACATGGTATAAAGAAAACTACTATTTGATATAAATTTGATAAGATCCTAAACTCAGTCTCCACATTGCTCGCTGTAAATTTTGTTCATGTTTACTCAAGTGATAGATTGCTTAAAGTCTTCATTAACTTCATTAAAAAGTGAATTATCTTAGTCCAGATAAGATAAAGATAAGATAAAAATTCCAATTACCTAATTACCTTTCCTAATAACTGCCCAGATATCCCGGCCTTTTTCAATATTTGGTGCAGGTCCTTCAACTCCACTGCTGTCAGCACAGTGAATAGATGGAATGGAGTTGAGTTTTAATGTTTAAATTGGGGATATGAAGGATGAGCTTGTGAATACCCTTAGAGGCCCAAGTCTTACGCCCAATGGGTGAGAGTTGACAGTCCTGTTTGCTGGCTCCCCCTCCGGTATCATTACAGCATTAAGTCTTCAGTCTTAGTTTGCCAGGTGTTAACTTGGTAATATTTGAGTTGTGAAACATTGAGTTGTGAAAGTGCTCTAAATCTATCAGATTATAAAGACATATCAGGCAGCAGAGGTTGTGTGGGTAAAAGCTGGACTGAATGTTTAACTTGACACAATTTCATCCCATCATAACTTTTTTTATTTCATTTCATATTATAGATGATAAAGTTGTATCTGTTTTTCAGAGTTTGGTACTGTTTCTCTCCTGGACATAGCAATGGGCTCAGCTTTTACTGTGATTAACTTTATGTGCTCTTTTTCATCAATCTGATGTGAAAAAGGGCTCAGGGTTCGTCTGCTCAACTGTGTCTTTCCCAGACAGAGCTCCTTGTGGTGCTGGTTTACCGTTACCTTCTCTAACATAGAAAGTATTTTTGATCAGCACTTCTATTTAACTGTGTATGTGTGTACTGTATGTCATGGGCCGTTTCTCAATATGCGTACAGTACTTGTTTGTTCTTGTGTGCTTGTGAAATGCCATCAGCCTTAGACTCAGCCATCATGATCTTGGCGCTGCTGACTGGCCTGATTACTCATTTCATTCACCTGCCTAGCTCCGCCCAGTTTCTCATGACCATTCATCTGTTTCACCTGATCCAGGCTATTTTTAATCTACCTTCTTCCAGTCATCGGAGCCAAATTATTCGAGCCCTTGGTGAGAGTCTTCTAGCGTATTTAAGTGTTTTCTGAATGCCTAATCCTGATCCTTTCTGCCTCTTGACCTCTAAGCCTGCCTGTTCCTGTTCTGATCATTTTGACTGACTTTGTCTCTATGCTTTTTGCCTGGAATCCTGAGCACCACCTCTACACCGGCTTTGGCTTCGCCCTCTGGGTTGTCCTGCATTCCTTCTGCTGCTCGGTTCTGATCTCCTGCCTGTTTTCCTCTCTCCGGGGCTTCACGTCAGGTGACTCTCTTGGCAGAGTGCACCGTGTGTTGTCAGCAGCCGACCGGCTGGAACCAACCTCGTCCTCTGAGCACGAACTGAACTTTAGGACCAGGTTAGTGCAGGTTAGTGACTCACATGTTCATAATTTTCCTCCGCCAGATTGATGTGGTCACTAACCTATGTTCTCTTCCTGCAGAGGTTCCTGCCTTAGACGCTCTCGCTGTTCACTGTACATCCATTACTCTTAATAAAAGTTTTTGAGATATCTAACTATCTGTCTGCTTTGAAAACTGGGTCCTCTGTTCTGAGCCTTGGCACCAACACTGTTCCAATTCACAAACACACAAGACCGAGAACAGACAAATTCCCTGGATGTTGTTCTCGCCCCTCCCTCTTTACTCAGCATGCATCAGAGACTTGGCTGTTCTCAAGTTTGACAGCTGTCCCAGCATGCACTGCAGCAGCAGCAGCAGCTTTCAGCAGAGAACTCACGGTGTAAAGTCAAAAGTTCACTACAAAACTATGTTTTAAGATCATTTGAGGTGAGAACATTATACTTTTAAGCTTCACAATCTTGCCCATTTACTGATTTAGAGCATAATAAAAAAAAAAAAAGTTCTGATGTTGAGATG